GAAGAATGTTTAAATCCAGAGAAATAAGCCATTTTAACTAGTGACATGGACCGTGTCCATAGTGTCATTGTGTCGCCTGCCAATGACGTCATACACCCTCGAGTTCCGGTTTTGTTTTGTAGAAAACATGGAAACACCAAAGACGCTTTAATATGTTGTGCGTTTTAATTGACCGGTGACGACTGCACAGAGTAGCATTATAACAGAACTTTCAAATGTATTTAGTATGATAAAACAGCGCTGCTTTACCCCACATACCCACGACCAGAAGGAGCGGAAGCGGTCGACTGTGGCATAATAAAAGCTCCGCTGCTTTCAAGCCGTGTGTCACGCTCGTTCAGCGGCCTCGTTTCGCTTCGACGGCTTTCAGCCTCACCCTGCTTCATTCTACTACATTACCAAATCATTAGCTCATCCATGAACATGATTTCTGCCGGAGTCCCGTCGGATTGCATCGGCTGTGGGGATGAAGACGACAACTCCCATGATTCCACACTCAGTCACAGCGTCATCAAACTATGGCTTTGTCTATTTGTTTATTTTGAATACGCACCCTCCAGCGGCGAAAAATACATATTGTGCCTTTAATACTAAAACTTTTGTGAAATTTTTGGCTTTGATGCATTTGCAACTTTTTGAACAGCTGGTGCCGCTATGTGTTATTTTGTACGCTTGGAAACATTGAGTGAATTTTGCGAAGCAATTTGTTCAAGATTCAAGTGGCGTTATTGGTTTGGAAAAAGGCTTTGCATTGCCGAACACTGGTAAAATAAAAAACATCAAAATAAATAAATGAAATACATGAATAAATAAATAAAAAATAAAAAGAGAAGGAAAAAGAAAAGGTATAAAAAAAACAAATTGATTCAGTTGATTCTGAATTCAAAGCTATATTCAAAAGCATATTTTGTCTCAGTCACTTATGATTGTAATGAAATTACCCAGAGGACTTCGGTAATACACAGTTGTTGTAATATTGTTGCAGTGTTTTGTACATTGCAATAGAATGTTTTTCTTAGTGAAGCTTTAAGATAACATGCAGGTTCAATTGAATCCAAACCTAAACTTCACCCCTGATTACCTGTCAGTTTTTTGTGGTAATGACTTGCCGATTATACACTATCCCTTAAATATGAATCATACATATACACAGCTCTATTTCTGCTGTTCCATAAGCGCCACCTGCAGTCAGACAGTGGATTCACATTTTCATTCAGCCAGTCTACAGTGCAGTTTTTGCTAAAACCA